GAGATAAAGCTAATGATGGCATTCTAAAAAAGAAATTTTTTTGGTAAGTCGTCATTATGTGGGTTTGGAATCAACCGCGATTGATTCATTTAAAAGTTCAAGGGAAGAAGAGATGACAGATAAAGAAAATCTGCGATATTTTGATGTTATATTTCAGCTACTTTATATGCTTTGAAGAACTAACAGTTACATTTGGAAGTTCGGAACTATGTAATTGAAAAGAACTTTTAGCCTATAGAATTGTCATGACCTGACCTAGGCCTTGAAATTAACCAATGACGAAAGGATGGTTAGATGGTGATAATCAAATTCTTCTATTTTTTATTTTAATTTTCTATAAATAATATTTAATCATTTTAAAATAAATGAAAGAGTCACTAGAGAAATAAATTAAAGTAATATAGTTAAATTTTTACCTTAGCTTAAGTTGTCGGCATCTTCTGAAGTTTTCTATTCTTCATTTTTTTAATAAAATAATTAAATCTAAAATGTTAAATTAAAACAACACTGAGCTAACCATAACAATTAATATGCTTACTCCTAAAGTATGGTAACACAATGAAAAAAAAAATGCTATGCATGTTAATTAAACTTTTAATAAATCAATATAATTTGACTTTCCATATTTATGAATATGATCGATCAAAATATTTTAAAATTATATTATGTCATACATACCATTTTCATATCTATTTTATTTTATTTATATCAGTCACATGAGCACTGTCTAAAATTATATAATTTTAGTTACATCAATATCAAGAGCTTTTTCTATTTACATGCACGTGTACTTTAGCATTCCAGAGCTAATATTATAAAGGTGTGAACTCCATTATAATCAGCATGCACATGAAAACAATCAAAACAGTTAATTTCATTATTATTTTTCATAGGATTCAATACATAATATAATACCTTAATTTATACATTTGATGGATCTATACAAATGAAGCAAAATATAATTTAAAATGACCAAATGAACTTAAAAAGAAGGTAAATTCATTTTTAATTTATAATTTTGTAGCATAAAATTTATCTGAATAATTTACAAAATGTATCAGATTTAGAAGAAGTTAAATACTATTATAATTTAAAAGTACAAGTACTTGCATTGATTTCACCTTATGAAATTATCCCTTTCAAATCTTTTAATTTTCTCTTTCAAAATTTCTATTTTCTCACTTAGTTATATTTCATGATATTTTAACTTTAATATGTAGCAATTTATAATTAATTTGACTATCAATAATTATCGAATAAACACGAGTCTTACCTCCTTATTTTTTCTTCTTTTGTACGATCTGATCTCAATCTTATTGGTCCTTTAATTCAATCGTTTGTCAAACAAAATTACTGAACTTAATCCATAGAGTTTAATATATCATATTAACTTTTTAATTAGAATAATTTATATAATTAAAGTAGAAAATCCATAAAGCCTTACCTTAACATTGTTTTAATAGCTTGATTTGCCTCTTTCCAACACGAACCGGTACCCCAAGCCTTCCTGTTAGATTTCTTGTCATTAATATATATATATATATAATCTCATCAAACAACTCTAACCCCTCTTCCTTTTAAAGGCTCAGTTCATTCCTTGCTCGCGCACATAGGTCACCCCTCTCCTCTCCTACTATTCAGTTTAGTTAGGACAGGAGCTTCTTCCCCCCGGTTCGGTCCGCTAAGTTTCCTCACCACTGCCTCCATTTCACGAGCAAATTGCACGCAAATCGATGAATTCGTCAAAACAACCTCCGATGGTGAAACAAACCACGCTAGCGCGTCCGGAACGTCAAAATTACCTAAAAAGGACATTCAATTTTTTACAACTTGACACACAAATGAAAATGCATAAATCGAATTTTATTTTTGAAATATTAAAGATTTTTTTATTTTAAGTTTTTTTTAAACCCTAAACCCGTTACACGCACATTTAACCCATCCCGTGGCTCGATCAGTCGCTTGGCTCGTCCATCTTGCGTGCCTTAGGTTCCATGGCTGATCCACGCGGCGAGCTCTCCCCTCCTCTCTACTCTTCCCCTTCTTCACGTGGCCGCTCGACCTTTCGACTCTCCAATTGCAAGGGCCGAGCTGGCCGACTCTTCTTCTTCTCGAGGTTCTATCGTCTCCCTCTTTACTGTGGCGATTATTGCCTCGTCATTTGATTCGCTTACTAATAAGGCTTATTGGTGTTTGTCCCCTTCTCTTCTCTGCCTATAAAATAGCTTTTTAGTGTACTATTTTGGGTTGTTGAAAATTTTTTGAGATAAAGGGAGGCTGGAATTTTTTTTTAATGTCTGAGCCTTAAGGAGGAGAAGTTCTGCTAGGTTCTCGTGCGCTGGGAGTTCAAAGCATTCGTGGGTTGTTTTTTCTGAAACTTTTAATAAGGGAAGCTTTGCCGAAGTCCTCTCTAGGCTAGATTCTTGTGTGCTGGGAGTTTGAAGGATTTGTTGTTTGTTGTCTCTCGAAGCTTTTAGGAAGAAGAATGCTGTGGAAGTGGTTTCTTGAATTTGTCTTATAGTATTTGCTTTAAGTCTACATTAAAAATGTATTCCCCATCTTTCCTCTATTATGCATCATTTCGGATGACATCCAAAAAATATTTATTTTCTCTTCTACAGCATGTGGAAGCAAGATTTAGGCTTGTTTTGAAATTTAAGCATGAAATAGTTCCTAGAAAAATCAAAATGTAGCATGATATGGCTGCCTCCTTTTCTTTTTCTGCTCAACATACATGGAATGCATGTTATGGAAGTTTTAGTTGTTATTCTATGGAATACATGTTAGGAAGAAAATGCAAGGTTGAAGTTTTCTTTTTTTATACTTATCCAAGTGGATGTTGGAATTAGTTTCAAAGCTGGATGACATGTTGGCTCTAAAGATTCATGCATACTTATATATTTCCTGTTATTTATTCCAATTTGAAACATACGCTGGCACAATACTTTGAGATATCAAGTTCCAAGGGGAAATTTTCTCTATTTTTGGCCCATTTGAAGGGCTCGGTTTTGGCTCTGTTAGATGAGAATTATTGATAAAAATATTCTCTGTTTTGCCCTTATGTTGGGCTCGGTTTGCCCATGTGATGGTTCGGTTTTAGTTTCAAGTTAGCTGGAATTGTGTTTTGTTTTGACCCATTTGAATAGGTTTGGTTTTTTTTTTTTGCTTCATTTTGGATTGAATAGTAGCTGGGAAGTATGACTCTGTTTTGCCTTTCTTGTGGGCTTGATTTAGCCTGCGGATTGGGCTCGATTTTTGCATAAGATTTAACTGATATACTCCTTTTGCTGAGCTTTGTTTATTTGTCATGACCTTTTTATTTTTGTTGCCCCTATGTTGGGCTCGGATTGCCCCTATGTTGGGCTCGGTTTGCCCATATGTTGGGCTCGATTTTAGCTTATTTGGGTTGAATTCCTCTGCTGAAAATGCTGATTTGTTTTTCCCCACTTGGTGGGTGAGGTTTGTATTAGTTTCTCTAGCCTTTATATTGGGATTAATCGAATTTGAAACAGGGAATTGGCTTGGCTCAAAAGTTTATTTGATGGCTCCCTTTTACTGAGTCTAGGTGAGCTGAAACTGTGTTTTATTTTTGTCTCACCTTGTAGGCTCGGGTATGCCTGTTGTGGTTCCCTGTTTTGCTCTTCTTCATAGGCTCGGGTTTACTGGCCACGGTTTCCTGTCTTGCCCCTTTGCTGGGCTCGGTTGGGTTGGAAATTCTCGATATAACGTTCCTTTTGAGATTTTTATTGGTAATCAAGTTTGTCATCCCAAAATTCATGAATTTCAATGTCTACCTCTGTGGGGATGTTTGATACAAGTAGACCGACTCACTATCATGTCTCATGTGATGAAAAGAGTTTTAGTCCTAATGATCTATAAGAGCTTGTCCATTCACTCTCTTATGTATATCAAAATGGCAATACGTATGGTGGTTTTCTTTTATTGCCTCTGTTAGTGAGTTTAATCTTGGGGCTTGGTTGATCTTTTTGTGGTCCCTGTCGTGAGCATCCTAGTGTCCTATTTGGTTGTTCTCTGCTGCCCCTAGCTGTGAGCCATCACATGTAGTTCTTTTATGTTAAATGTGATTATTTTGGGACTTGTTTTTCTCCTCTTTGCCCTTGGCCGTGAGCCTTACTGTTGCGGTTTGTGTTGTGTTTGGTTTGGACTTAAT